TATGTGAAACCAAAAGTGAGGAATTTTTTTAAGCGCAAATAGTAAAACAATGTGTATAAATTTGCATTAATAGTATTTAAAAAAACCAATTAGTGTTTTAAAATACAAGATGCAAATTCAGTTTATTTTTCACCCAAATTTTTGATTTTTTGTTGAATTGTTATATGAAAACTCATCTTGCCCTATTCGCTATGTTGCCTCGCTTTCTCCTACATACTCGATAATAATAAAATATAAAAAAAAATTGAAAACTCAAAATCTAAAGACTTATTAGAAATTCAACATCATTCATATCATTACTTTTTATTAATTGGTTATACTCTGTTCCATGCAAAACAACAATAATTAAACATTCCTCTTAAATTGCGCGAACTTCATTTAAAAGATATAATAATTAAAAACCAACTAAGTATAAAATTTTAAGGAATTTGCGCAGTCGATAATTTATTCTGGCTTCCCTATATAAATTATCTGCAGTCAATAACTGTCAAAAAGTACCAAAACTATTGGCGTAATGTATTGAGTTCGACCATATGTCGATATTTTAAGTCTCAAAATATAATATTTTGGGTTGGTTCACTGTTTGAACCAACCCAAAATATTGACTATGCAAACATAAAATGTTTGCATAGTCAATATTTTGGGTTTATTGACTATGCAAATATAAAATGGGGTAGTGCGCAATCATAAAAATGTCTAAAAATGTATAGGCTACAAAAACACGCTTGACGTATCATATACTTTAAACAAAAACGAGAACATGCAAAACCACTTGTGAAAAATACGAAAATGATGGGTATATTTGAAATAAAATTAATCGGAATCTAACTTTGTATAGATAATACTTTTGCCAGCAAACTTCAACAACAAGTTTGAAATAATTATAAATGAAAAGTGTAATCTAAAATCAAATAGCAAAAACAACGTTGCCCCCGAAATGAACTAAACTCTCAGAATTTTGTATATCTTATCGAGAACATAAAATATGGAATGACTTTTAATAGGAGAATAAATTTACGTTGAAGTCCTAAAATTTATTAAAGTTTTAAACGAAAAAAAAGAAACTTTTAAAATTTGACTATAAAAAAAAAATTTCTTTTATCGTGTTCTATTGTTTTTTTTATAGTAAAATTTAATTTGGAAGTTTCGTGCAATTTGGAAACTAAATAATTTAATGCTTTATATTATATCGAAACTAAAAAGTATTAAAAATTGTTTTTTTTTTCTAAGGCATACATTCCATAAATGATGTATGAGATTTCTAACAATTTTTCACCCCTCCCCTTGTCAAACTCTGTTATTTTTCTGGCCAATTTCTCCTCCTTTCCTTATATATGATGTCAGTTTTCGTATCTCTTTCCCCTTCCCTGTTCTTCGTCATTTTTTAAAATTGATTTTTGAGCGATCTATAAATGCAATTAAGAAACGGTTTGAAGCATTAACTAAAGAAGTTATTCACAATTCAAAGATAGTTTTAAAGTTTTTCCTAATTGCTAGAGATGTTTAAAAATATTTAAAATTGTTTTTGCACCGTCATGCGGGTCACTCGTCGTTTAGAAATTTTATAAACCGCCTTACGGGTCACGCGTCACGAATGGGTTAAAAATGGTACAAGGGGCCATCCATAAAGGACGTCACCAATTTTAGCCAATTTTTGACCACCATCCCCCCCCCCCCCCTTTGTCACAGGTTGACTTTTTTCCCTATACCCCCCTTGAAAAAGACGTCATAAAATCCTGAACCCCCCCCCCCTATTTTTAACTCCAAAAAAATTTATTTTATCTTGCAATGATGTTTGAATCTACTGCTACACCTTTGAAAAATAAAATGAAAAATATTCTCATACATTATCTTCATAAAAACACATGTTTACGTAGTTTTCCATGTTAATTAAACTAAAATAAAATATCTATAAAGTGACGTCCTTTTCTGACAACCTCCCCCCTCCCCTTGTCCTTTTTTTGTCTTTTTTAACTCGACCCGCTCCCCCCTCCCTATTTGGATGACGTCCTTTATGGATGGCCCCCTAAATAAATTGCGAACGGCGAACCGCGAACTTGTAAAATGCAAACTTTTTTGCGACCGATCGTTGTTAATAATGAAATGTTTTATAGCGGAATATTTTAATATATTTTAAGGACTTTTAAGAGAAAAAATTATTTAAAAATAAATAAAAAGAAATTGAGAGAAAATAGAAAAATACAATACAATTTTTTTTTAATTATTTAATAGACTCTCTGCCTAAACCAAACCCTCAGTCGATGTAGCAGCACTCCATTGCGAATCAGGCTATAAGATAGTCGATGTGGCAACACTTCGCGCATGATTTACAGTTAAAAACTAAAAATTTTATTTTAAATAAAGCTTTAAAATAAATAATTAAGAGTTGGAGAGTTTTTTTTATTATTATTTTTATCTTAACAATAATGGTCTTTAAAATATAAGGTTTTGGTTCGCATTTTACCGGTCCGCAGTTTGCGGTTCGCATTTTACCGACAACCTTTAAAAACTGAACAACAGTTGATTTTGTTTACAAGAGTTATTTTTGTTTACTTTGTTCTTTAAAACTTATTTTTGCGTTTAATGTCACGATTTAAACTGCCATTACAGTGGCGGAACTACTGGACGCAGGACCCTGCGTTGCGGGGGAAGGGGGGCCTACCAGCTATAGGGGGCCTTCATATAAATAAAGTTATACTCTCAATAATATTTATACTATAAAACTCTTTCCGCAAAAAAAAAATTCTTTTGCGGGGGGGGGGGGGGGGCAAATTTTGAAGTTCCGCCACTGTGCCATTATAAACGACAATCATGACATGGTTGGTTAACGGCAATTTAATATATCCATACATTAAGCCACATAGTTTGTTTTAATGTTTTTTTATAAGTTTCAAAATTTAAAAAAGATTTTAAAACGTAAATTTTTCTTACATTAAAAACAGAATTTTAAAGATTTTTGAATTAAAATAGTTTTTTATATTTAAATTATAAAAAAGTATTCACTTATTTATATTGTTGTTATTCAACATAACTAAATTTGTTCAAAAAAGTTTTGGTTTTACTGTCACAGTACTTGCTAGCTGCAGTTTTGTTAACAAATGGCCTTAACGTAACATAACCAACATTAATCTCTTTGGCATTGAAAATGTTCGCGTAACTTTTGAAAATCAAAACTTGCGTACTCAAATTATTTTTTGTTTAAAAAACTTTAATTTTTATAACGATCGTTTAATAAAGTTTCATTCGCGGTTTTAGAAACATTTAAACGCGGTGTTTATTAGTCTAAACTTGAAACTGAATTTTTCTAAAAAAGATTAAACGTTTAGTTGGTTTTTATTTAATTCTTTCCAGCTTAAAAAGTAGTTTAATTTATTCCATTGTTTTTTTACTATATTTTCTAAATATTATAGTTTTCGGTAATTAAAATCACGGTTTAAAACTGCTACTTATGGAGAAAGACTTTTTACAAAAAAATTGAAAACCATTTAAAAAAAAGTATTTTTACTTAAAATATTTGTTTCGATATTTATTAACTTTTTATATAAAAATTTTTGATCGTTTAAGTAAAATTTAAAGTCGGTTTAAAATTAAGTAAAAACGTCAGATGAAATATGAAATTTCGAACTAAAAATCTTCGAAGAAAAATTCTACTTAAACCATCGAATTTTTTTTTTGATGACGACGAATTTTTTTATTTTGTTGATCTCTTCAAGAAACAATGGCGAAAACCTTAAAAAGTTATTTTTTTGTAAACATTAATTTGTGTAAAAGGTGTATAAAAAGTGCAAATCTAATAAAAAAAGTTGATTTATTCAAAATTCAATCAACTTAAAAACTTATGACTTTATCTTAAATACGATATTATTTGAAAAGAAATTGATAATAAAATAAAAAAATTTAACATTTTATTTTAATTTGCATATTTAGAATTTTTAATTTCATTCTTAAACATCACAAAACATAAAATAATTAATATAAATAAAATATTAAACAAAGATTTATTATTTATTAAAACAAATATTTATTAACAATATTATTTAAAAAATTATATATTAAGAACATAATAATTAAAAACTGAAAATATAATATTTAAAAAAAACAACAATAAATCATGTAACGTAATTTATAATTTTACAAGTATAATATTATTATTAATAATAATATATATGAAAATTTATATATTATAATAATATATTTAATAATTTATATCATAATTATAACTATTAATATATTTGAAAACGAATTATTTATAAAATATTTTAATAATAAAAAATTAAACTTTTAAATATTAAATCTAATAAACTAGTAAAATTAATTTGTATATTTAAAAACGTATTTATTATAAAATAATACATTAAATATTTCATTAGTTATTTATAGTTACTGTTTTTATTTAATATATTTAAGGTATTAAATATTTTATCGTGTTGTAAAGTTTTTTAATTCATCGAGGTTATAAAAATATTTTCCACGGTACCAGATCGAAAACTTCTTGACATTCGAACAACGAATCCATTCATAAAACTCATTAAAATCAATGTCTTTGTGAAGTGTAAGATATAATTCTTCACAAAGATTAATCCACGGAAGAAAATTTTCTTCAAAATCTTTTTTTGTTATTAAATAATCTGAGATCCATATCCACAACACTTCAATCTTATCTTTCGGTTTCCAACCTTCGAAATTAATTGGACGATGAAAGCTGACATCGCGAACATTAGTTGAACATTGTATTAAAAGTTTTTTTTCTTCATCACTTAAAATATTTTTATTAACTTTTAACCACAATAACTTTCTCCCAGATTTTAAGTAATGATTTATGAAATAAATTTCGCAAGAAGTTAAGTAAGAAGTTTTTCTATCGTTAATCGAAATACTCCATATCCACTCTCCTTGATCAACAATTGATTTAATTTCATCATTAAATGATGATTGACTTTCATAAAAACATTCAATGAATAAATCATGGAAATCTTCTCTGTAATCACTTTTACGTAGAC